ACCCCCAGCCAGAGACACCAGGAGTCTCAGTGGCACCAGCAGGGTGATCTTGCCACATCTGGCAGCCAGCCTGGGAAACTCTCCTTGGCTCAAGGCAGGGACTCTCCTGCCAGGAGCAGTGCCCAGCGCCTGGAGAGCTCTTTACCCCTGCAGGCCAGCCTCCCTTCTCCCACCTAGAAGCAGCAGGCAACCCAATCTGAGGAGGCTCCCTCTGCCTCTCAAGCAGCACCAAAAAGGCCAGGGGAAGTCTCAGGGCACTAATGAAACTATGCAGACCAAAATAACAGAAAACACTCTGAAAATTACGTTTTCATTGGAGCTACAGCCCATAAAATGAAGCCAAGACCTTCGTGTTAAACCTAAACAGAGTGACTGACTTCTAGAATGAAAAATATATTCAGGACCTAGGATGTGTCCTAACATAATACCAAAACATACAAGATACAATAAAGAAATTACTCCTCATACCAATAATTTGGAAAATCACAGCTTGAATGAGAAAATACAATCAGCTCATGCCCACAACAAGGTGAAATGATATGGCAAGATTTTCAAAGTATTCGTTATAAAAATGCTTCAACAAACAATGATAAATTCTTGTGGAGCAAATGGGGAAAAAAATAGAAAATTTCAGCAAAGAAATGAGGGATAAAGGACTACCAAATAGCCAAAAACTGAAAATGACCCAAATGTCTTTCAATGAGTGAATGGGTAAACAAACTGTGCTACATGCATAGCACATAATTCTACTCAGCAGCAAAAACACGCTCTTGATACATGCAATAACTTGGGTGGCTCTTCGGGGCATTATGCTATGTGAAAGAACCAATCTCAAAAGGTTACATACTGAATGATTCTGTTTATATAACCTTAAAATGACAAAACTATAAAGATGAAGAACAGATTAGTGGCCGCCGGGGGTTAGGGAGAGAGGAGGGGTGGGGGAAGTTGGTGAGTGATGATTATAAAGAGCGAATGAGATCTTTGTGATGATGAAATAATTATGTATCTTGATTGCAGTGGTGATTAGACACATCTTCAGGTGTGATAGAATGGCATCAAACTATACATACACATTGTGCCAAGGTCAATTTTCTGGCTTTGATATTGTACTAAAATTATATAAGAAGCCGTTGGGGGAAACTGGGTGAAAGGCACACAGTTGACCCTTGAACAACCTGGGGGTTCAGGCACTGGCCCCTATGCAGTTGAAAATCTGTGTATGCCTTTTGACTCCCCCAAAACAACTACGGTGGTCCCTCGTCACCCATGGGACCCTCAAATACCCAAATCCTCAGACGCTCAAGTTCCTTATATAAAACGGCAGAGATTAATGCATACAGTAGGCCCCCCTCCTACAAAGATTTCCAACTGTGAATGGAAAATACAGTTTTCTAGCTGCAGTTGGTTAAACCTCTGGGTATGAAACCCGGAGATACAGAGGGCTGACTATATATTTATTGAAAAAAAATTTATGTGTAAGTGGACCCATGCAGTTCAAACCTGTATTGTTCAAGGGTCAGCTGTGTTATCATCTCAACTTCCTATGAATCTATACTTATTTCAGAATAAAACACACACCCAGAGTCACACAAAGCCCTTGGGAGCATAATACACTACATTTTTGTTTTCATTCTAATTAATTATAGAGAGAAGAAGGGGAGAGAGAGAGAAACATTAATGTGAGAGCGAAACATAGATCAGCTACCTTCTGCACGCCCCTCGACCGGAGATCAAACTCACAATCTGGGCGTGTGTCCTGACCGGGAATCAAACCACCCCCTCTCGGTGTACGAGATGACGCTCCAACAGAGCCACCCGGCCAGGCGTAGACTCGGTTCTAATGGAGGAAGGGATGGCATCATAGTAATGTGAAAAACCTCATATGAAGCAGCCAAGGCTTCCACTTAACAGCTTCTCCACTCCTGAAATGTCATTCAACACCCACCCACCTTTTACATTCCTGGCACATCACTCCAGCAGCCCTGGTCTTCCCCTGCCTTGCTAGCTCCTTCCCTCCCTCCTTGGCTGTGTTCTGTCCCTTCCCACACTTCCTTCCCACCTCTACTTTGGGCTGCCAATCAAATGCCACCTTTCCACCCCACCCCAGGGCAGCTAATCAGAGGTAACCATCCTTCTTCCCAAGGAATGGGCATGTGACTCAGATTGGACCAGAGTCCTAGTGGGGGGTTGTTATGTGACCACTGCAATTATGGGTGCAGGTGAGGCTTTCTTGCTAAACACTTCCAAGGGGCACTACTCACAATGTGTTCTCCGTACTTTGGGCACTAAGCTGGATACTAAGCTGGAGTCCCAGGGGAAGAAGCTGAGAGACAGAAGGACTTGCCAAAATGTCATCTACACTGGGCAAGGCAAGAAGGGCTTCTGTAAGTGTAGACAAGCCAGGAAAGAGGGGGCCATAGTCCAGCAGGTACACCTGCCTCTCACACCACCCACATTTCTTCCCAGGGAGCCTGTTACCCTCAGGAGGGCAACTGCCAGCCAAGGAACCCCCATGTGCCTCACACAACCTCCAGGGCAGGCCCAGCTCCCTCCAGGGGTGGCATCACAGCACCACACTTCCATGGAAGTCCTGGGGGTTCACCTGTCATTCACCTATTGTGCAGAGTGAGGGATCAGTTGGAGGAGACCNGCATCACAGCACCACACTTCCATGGAAGTCCTGGGGGTTCACCTGTCATTTGCCTATTGTGCAGAGTGAGGGATCAGTTGGAGGAGACCAGAGTCCTAGAGTACAGGACTTAAGGGGTAGAGAGGAGGGGTTCTTATTACTGAGAAGAGGCCAAGGCTGGCATAAATATTTCCTGGGAGGCCAGAGTCCCTGAGGGTGGGCAAGGTCAATGAAGGCCGAAACTTGGGCCAGACCCCAGGTCCCAGACCACAGTCTCACCTCAGTGCCTCCACAGGGTGCTCAGCACCCAGAGCCTCTGTGCGGAATGGAGGCTTGCTGGTTCGGACTGAAGACCCCGAGGCAAGTTGAGTTTGTGTTTTCTTAGCCCCCAGCACAGAAGCACAGGCCTTCTCCCCCTCTTCTCCCCTCCAAGGCAAGTCAGAGTCGAGCAGGCTGGCACTGGGGGAGTGCTGTCTGCCCTCACCTGGTCACCTCATGGCCCTGGCCCCAAGGCCCTCTCTCTCCTGCCCTGCTCCTGGCTCCCAGCCCTCGGCCACTCCTGGCAGCCAGGCCTCGCCAAGGCCAGGCTGTTTTGGAAAAATGCTCGGAGGTGGCAGAATGTGCGGTCTTCGAGTTCCCTCCAAACTGGCGCCCCAATCCCTGGACAAACAGCTGCCGTGTTTGCCTGTCCACAACAGCCTGTGTTCTCCTTCCAGGCCAGGAGATCCCGGGGGCAGCCAGCCTTGTGGGGGGCGGACGGGCAGGCAGGCGGACGTCACCGACCTGCGGGCCCGCTGGAGAGAGGCATGGACAGACTGGGTGATGACAGGCCTGCCACCCGCCAGGCTGGCCCTCCCACCCTGCGGCAGGGCGGTCAGATTGAGGGCAGCCTGAGGACCGCGCTTCCTCCGCCTCGGCTGCCACACAGGACATTCCTCCACATGGAATTCACACTCTGAGGAACTACTGCCTTCCGCCGGCACGCTTCCCCGTGGAGGCTGGGGCTTTGACTGCTGCCCCTGGCCGGCTCTGGAGACCTCCCTCCCAGGGAGCCCCTCGGAGTGGGCACATGCTGGGTGGGGCAGGTGGTCCGCTTCTGGTGCAGGGACCCCCCTCTGATTCTTTGAGGCCATGGGGAAGTCTCTGCTACTCCGAGACTCTGTCTTATGGAAAACAGAAGAATCACCCTTGCTGCCCTCCCCCCTCCTCTGGAAAGGGTAAGGGTAGGCTAGAATTCAGGGAGAGCAGGCCTGGGTGCAGTGGGGAGGGGGCAGGCTAGGCAGAAGACAGAAGAAAGCACAGGGCAGATGATGGGTGGTCAGGGCCTGCTGAGTGTCCTGCCCTGGTGGCATTCTTCAGAAGACTGGGTTTCTCTTCTGAGTGGCCAGGCTCTGTGACCCAGGTTGGGAGAGGCCTTGGGACCCAGGCTGTGTCTGTGTCTGGGGGCTCTGAGCAGAGATTGGGTATGATGGACTGAACCAAAAAGACATGCTGCAGCCACAAAAAGGCTCATCTCAGGCCAGCTCAGGGAAGCTTTCCCTCTCTAGGCTGTGGGGAGGAGATAGGGCACGGCAGAGGCTCAGACCAGCCTAAGCACTGAGGCCTGTCCCTCCCTGGTTCCTGGTGCAAATCTGGGACCCTGGCTCTGCCTCTCACTGCCATCCCTCCCTGCCCACAGCCCCTTGGTCCTGGGACCTGCCCTGTGCCGGTCTTGCCTTCATCCTCTGTGACAGGTTGCTGAGCTGCTTTTCACAGTTGATAATCGGCATAGAGTACACGGTTGGTCATCAAGTGGGCTTGGGGAGCCCAGCAGCCTGTGCCCACTCTGCACCTGTTGCCCTTTAGTGTGCCTATCCTCAGGTGCAAAGTGAGGGAATCTGCCTACCTGTTTAACCCCTTTCCCAAACCCATTTGACCAGGGCATCTGTTTGCTTCATGGAAGAGCCTCTGAAACGTGCCTCATGTGACATAAGGCTGGGAGTCAGGAGAACTGAATTCTGCCCCTCAATTCACTCAGTAGCTGTGGACATCAGTGTAAGCATTTTGGACTCTGAGGACAGGCCTTGAGCACTCTGGGTTGCCCAGGCCATGATGGCCACACTCGGCCGGGGGAGCTGCCTCCAGCTGTTTCATCCCCCAACAGGCCTCTGGGGCCAGTGGCTGTCCAGATACATCTTTCCTTCCCCACAGGAACCTACTTGTGGAAGGACACTGCCGAGGATTCCTCTGTGCCCTCGCACAAGGAATGGCCTCACAGGACAAATGTTTCCAGGAAGAACCTCCTGCCTAGCAGGTGGGATTGGGTGCCGCTGAAGGGAATGTGGGGAGGGGGGGCTTTCAGTGAGGCTGAAAAGGCAGAGACCAGAGAGCCAAACGAGGGTGAGTCCCCACGGTTTATTATGGAAGCCTATAAAAGAGCCACATTGAGTACTTTCAAAATCACAAAATGCACAACATTCATTTTTTTTAATATGCAACATGGAATATTATATACAGATTAAGACCACGTGACAGCAAAACACTCACACGGCACCAGTTTCATATCAAAACAAAACACACAAGTGCTTTTTCAATATTAAAACAACTGTGATAAAAACATATTAATATTTTGAACCATGTTTACAATAGAGAAAAATTCATATTTTACTAAATAACAAATATTTAACAGCAAAAACTTTATACTAAATATCTATTTTGAATTATAACAAAAATAGTACTTATAATAGTTTATAAAGACAGACACAAAATTATAACATTTATGAAAAAAAAGTCTTGTGTATAAAATAATATCATAGCGATCTGGGCAGGGTCAAGATGGTGCCCAGAACACAAACGCCAGCGCCCAACATCGAAAGTGCTTCAATCTGCAAGCCCAGGGCAGGAAAAGTTTTGTGGAGTTTTGTCTTTTTAATGTCAAGTTACAATAGTTAGGAATGGTAAGTGAGAAAACATCACCCATCTATGCTACGCCTATAAAACCTACACACAAACACACGGACACAGATGGATGCACAGAGGAGAGATGGATGAACTTCGACATTGGAACCCTTCGCTCAGCCAGTCAAGAGCTTTCTTCATTTCTCTTGTTATCTTTGAGGCCCAGCAGGGCAAATGATCCTTCTTTCCTCCCTCACAGGGATCCTCCTCAACCTTTTCTCTGCCCCTCTCAAGCTGGTCACCACAAATGGAAAGGCCACCCAGGCCTCCCAGAGCCCTCCAGCCCCCCACCCCTCCCCAGGGCCAGGCCCAGTGGACTTCCTGTCTGAAGCTGCATGCCTAGCCACTCAGTCAAGAACGACTGGTTCAGAGCAAGCTGGCTTAGCTTGAAGGTGCAGAAACCTTCCAGACACTGGGCATTTTTGTGGGGCACCGATTCTGGTGCACCATAGCTACTTTGCAAGCTTTGATGAGTCTTAACACATTTTTGCCTGTTTTTCAGAATGTGGAGAGAGGTTTTACTATCCTTCCCCATACTCACTAGCCAAGTGGGGCGCCCCGGGGAGACAGTGACTATGCAGGAGATGATGGCAACCTCCAAATCCCCACGTTGCTGGCGGAGCGGGGAGGGAAACCGTGGGACCATTTCCCCATTTTTTTAAATGTCTATTTTTGCCAATAATGTCTGTTCCGCACTGTTTTTTAATAGCGAAAAAGCAGGAACCAAGTGAAACACTTGAAAACAGGGAGTTTTAGGACAGTCTGGGGCACAAACCCATTCCTACAGCCTACCACCAGGTGGGTACATGTCGGGCGAGAGTGGGGGTCCTGTCTGTCCACTCAACACCATCAGAGGGGGCCAGTGAATGGTCACAGTGGTCACCTCTTAGACAGACAATTAAAATGATCAATGTCCTACAACTTCTGTGTGTTTCTGATTTTCTTGTAAAGAGAATTCACTGGTTTTATAACATCAAAAGCCAATAGAGAAACACAGAAAGCAAAGAAAAATCCGAAAACAGACAAAATCACTGAAGACTCATCAAAGGCTCCAAACCAGCCCTGGGAGGCATCCCAAATTGCCAACACTCAAAATGCTGGTGGCAGAAGCTACTCCTCTTTCCCCCAGTCATCCTGACGGGCCAATTTTCAAGCAAATCACTTCTGACAAATCGCACATACTCTCCTCAGCTCTCCCTGCAGCCTCCCGGCAGCTGCCTCGAGACCAGGGCAGAGGCCCGAGTCAGCTCTGTGGAAGGGCTGCCTTCTACGCTCACCTCCCCTTGCTTTCATCTCGTCCCCACACCCCTGAGCTGGGCTGAGCAGACAGTGGCATAGAGGTGGGAAGGGACTTCAAGGACACCTTTCCAAGGGCTAAGGGTGAAGGTTAAGGAAGGGACAATGGAGCCCCTCGCTCCCTGTCAGAGAAAGAACCCGTATCCTTCCCCATACTCACTAGTGGAGTGGGGGGCCCCAGGGAGACACTGGCTATGCAGGAGATGGTGGCAGCCTCCAAATCCCCATGTTGTTGACAGAAGGGGGAGGGAAGCAGTGGGCCATTACCCCATCTTCACCAGGGGACAAAGGCAGAGGTGCTGGATTTCACCCCAGGAGTGCAGTTGAGGTTGAACCCACAGAGCCTGGGGGAGCTGCTCAACCTCAGCCAGAGGGCTGGGTCACTAGCAGAAGTCAGTCCCCGGGACAGTGGGACAGAGACTAGGGGATGGAGGAGGTACAATTCCAGACCCCAGTAACACCAAGATTCGGTTATATCCGTGAATAAATATGAGCCAAGGGCCTTGGGTGTGTGTGTAACAGAGAAGCAGGGTGGGCTGAAGGCCACCTGGCAGGAAGGTGGGGATGTCATTGCTGTGTGCATGCCCAGGGCCACCAGAGAGGATGCTGGGAGGGCAGCGCCTGGAGCTCCTTTGCCCCAACATCAGAGGAAAGAAAAAGTAGCAGCAATAGGTAATTTCAAATGTCCAAACTGGCAAAGGGGTGGACTCCTCTAGAGGAACACTGGGAGAGTCACATGCCTCAGTCTGGGTAGAGGCAGGAGGGGGCGGGTGCTGAAGAGGCCAACTCTCCCCCCCCCCCCAAGTCAACCACTTGATCTCAAACTAAAAAAGTCCAAATGAAATGGGAGGGGAGGGACCAGTTGGGAACATCACAAGCAAATGCTGCAGCGTGAGCTGACAGTTAACACTGTAATAGGCATGCGGAGCCCCTGGCCACGCCCTATCCCAGGAGCTAAGCTGGTGGGAACTGGAGAGAGACTGGGAGAAGCAGGAGCAAGGAGGAGGGCCCTGTCCCCCGAAGGAACAGGGGCCCTTTTGGCTTTGGGTAGGGTCTGCCAGGGAGGGAAAACGGGAGGGCAGGGTATGGGGGCCGCTCTCCCTTCCCCGGGTTCCAGCCCCCTCCCACACACAGGTTTTTACCCTTCCATCGCCTCCCACCCCAGGGCCTGGCTGGGCTGAGGCAGGGGTGTGGGCCAGGCCCTGTTAGACCGTGGCACTTAGCATGGCCTCCGTCTCTGGCAGGATCTTGTTCTGGTTAGAGTCCAGGCCAAAGAACTTGACACTGAGGCCGTCCACGGGGTGCAGGACAGGGACCAAGGTGATGCGGGGGAAGGTCCGGGTAGCCAGCTCAAAGCGGCTTGTGCTGGCCAGCTCCACCGCCAGCACCTTCAGGAACAGCTTGGCCAGGTGCTTGCCCAGGCAGGTCCGGACGCCGCCGCCGAAAGGGAGGTAATGGAAGCGGCCGTCCTTGTCTTCACTCCGAGCCTGACCGAAGCGGTCGGGGTCAAATACGTTCACATCTTTGAACACAGGCGCTGTGTCATGCGTATCCCGAATGCTGTACATGACACTCCATCCTTTGGGGATCTGGAAACCCTGGAGGCAAGATGGGAGGAGGGTGTGGTGGTGAGGGCCAGAGGGGACCTGAGAGGGCCCTGGACACACTGCCTGCCAACCCCCGACCCAGATGTTCCTAGAGAAACCATATTGTGATCACCCCGCCTGGCTAGCACCCCTCAGCATGTCAGTCCAGTCTCTTATTTGTAGAATGTCCACATGCAGCTTCATATATGACACCCAGGCTGGCTTCATCTGACCCAGCATTTGGGATGAGGTCTCTCCCATCAGACCAAAAGCTCCTTGAAAACAAAGGGTATCTCCCCATCAGCCTGAGGTACTTTGAAAGGGGTCTGTTTTTTCCCATCAGTCACCCCCCCGTGCCCAAGGCAGTGTTCCCATGGGTTCCCTGAGGCCCAGCCCCAGGACGCAGGCTCACGTCAAGCTCGAAGGTCTGCAGCACGGTGCGGTAGCCGCCGGAGATGGGTGTGAAAAGACGCATGACCTCCTTGATGACGCAGTCCAGGTAGTGCAGCCCGCTGAGGGTGTCGAGCCGCAGCGTGCCCTCACAGGGGCAGCCACCGCTGTGCAGGATGCCGTGGGCCCGCAGCTCCTCCCGGAGCTTCTCCAGCACGGCCGGGTGCTTCAGCAGCTGCATGATGAGTGACGTGCTGGCGCTCGCAGTGGTGGCATAGGCGGCAAAGATCAGCTCCAGGGTCCCATCCTGCAGCGCAGAGAGGAGAGGCACCATTAGGGATCAGTCCCCCCTGCCCCAGGGCCATCTAGCTGGGCCCTGCCTGCTTCCTCTGAGCCTCATGTTGCTGGGGCATTTGGGCCACAATGGACACAGGTCAGAGGGTCAGTCCCCTGACTCGGCAGGACATACAACTGCTACAACCCAGGGCAGGGGCACTAGCCTGAAGTCCCTTGCAGTGGGGCCACTTGTCACTTACTGCTGGGTTCTGGGGCAGTGAGCCCCAGCAGCCTAATCAGTGAGGTGAGCTCACAGAAAAAAAGAAAACAATCCCAAGGAGCCAGGCACTATGCGGGTGAGTAGGGTGGGGGGGGATCAGGGTCGAAACCCCAACCATCCAAGCCCAAGCTCCTTCCTCCACCCCCAGGAGGACATCAAGATTTGGGAGGCAGTCTGGGGCCATACCCACCAGGACCTAGGATGGGACTGCAATGAGAAGGCTGAGGGGACTCCAGGGGACCCTGGGGAGCAAGACACATGAGTCATGGGTGCCCCATGGAAAGGCCCCAGAAGGTGGTCTCATTCCAAGCTCTGCATTTTACAAATGTGAATGCCAGCCCCACAGAGGGGAGTAAAGGGACCTGGGTCCCTTACTTGCCATGGCACCACCTATGAGTCCAAAACTTCTTGTGAAATGGTAAAGTCATTCTGCTCTTTCCGGGCTTCCCGGGAGAAAAACTGAAGCGAGAAGAGGGGGAAGCAAAGCTGGGGATCTACAGCAAGTCTTAGCTGGCAACTGCCAGCTATGTGGGTGGCGGAGTCTGCACGAGGATGAACTAAGGGATCCCTTCTCAGGTGGAACACCCACCCTAAAAAATGGCGGGCAAGAAGCCCTTCTTGGAGCCCTATGTGGACAGTCTTGGTGCCAGCAGCCCAACTGGGCTTCATCAGTGCCAAGCAGGCTGGGAGACTTTCAAATGCCACCAACTTGAAAAGGCCTGAATTAGGTCCAAATCTTCCCAGCTCTTCCCCAAGGATTGGGCTGCCCTCCAGCAAGTGGCTGCCCCTTATGAGTCTGAGTTTCCCTAGGTGACCTTCCAGGTCCACTGGGACCATTAAAATGCACTGAAATAGTGAAGATTTGGGGGCGGGGAAGAGGGGTCAACAAACACCACTGACACTGAGTCCCTTCAGAGGCTACTAAGGGTCAATTTCTCACATCTTTTCCAAAATGGTGGAAAGGACCATGGGCGGGATGGAGAGCCTGCTGCCAAGTATCATGGGTACCATTCATCACCAGGACTGGGTGCACAAGCCGTGGGTGGAGGAAGGGCAGCCTCACCCACTGTGGGTGCTCCTCGTCCTCCCACCAGACCGTGTGCACTGCATGCAGGGACATGGTCTCTCTTCTGGTTCAGCCCCCACCCAGTGCGGTGACAGCCACAGCAGCTGCTCACAAAGTCCCTGTGAAATGGGACCAGAACAGGTGGCAGGGGCCAGCACCATCCCACCCTGGGGCAGCCCCAGTGTGGAGCATGGGGCACTCGTGCTGCCCGCTGGGGAGGCCCCCACCTTCAGCTCCTGCATGGTCATCTCCTTGCCGTGCTCCTTGCTGCTCTCAATGAGGATGTCCAGTGCATCCGAGTAGTCCTTGCCCTGCGTGCACTGCAGCTTCTCCCGGATTGCCTTTTCCAGGCCCTTCTGTAGGGTCTGTCGTGCCTGAATACCCTGGGGAAGAAGAGAACCATCTTGTCACCCAAGGGGAAGGGCAGGGCCACCAAGGGCCTCCTCCCAAGGTGGGGTAGGTAGGGGATTCCTACGAGAACGTCCCCTCTCAAAGACCAGGGTTGAAGACTCCACTCCGCCCACCCTCTGTGTGACTGGTGACTGTCTTAGCAGTCAGCCACCCCCTCCCAGGGTGGGTTCATGAATGCCCATCTCCTCTCCTCCCAGGCCCTGGGTTCTCACCCGCCGGTAGCCACTGAAGGGCAAGTCGACAGGCAGGGAGAAGACATTCTCCACAAACTGCTGGTAGACCTCAAAGAGGTGCCCAAGGTCCTCTTCTGGGATGCTGAAGCCCAGGAGTACACGGATGGCCATGCGGAAGGTGAGCTTCTGTGCCTCCTGGTACACATTGATGGCCTCAGGATGGCTGCTCCAGGCGCGCAGCGTATCCTGAATCACCAACTGGATCTTGGGCAGGTAGCTTTCCAGAGCCTCATGGCTGAAGATCTTGGAGAACACCTGGAGGGCAGAGAGGTGGGCAAGCTGGTCAGATGGGCTCAGGCTGCCTGTGAGGCTTCGGGGGGCCTGGCTGAAGCACAGGTCCCATGACTGACTGGGGAAAACTCCAGGTCCTCACCCTCACCAAGCTCCCCCTCCATCTCCGAGACACAGTCCCCTCTCTGGCTCCCCTATTCGAAACCCTCCTACTGCCTATGCCTTGGTGAAGGGTGGCAGGGGAAGGACAGCATTAAAACATAGTTCTTAAGTATTTTTATTCGAAGTCGAGACCTTCCACATCGCTCACATGGTGACCTGACGTATCACCTTCTGTCCTGACCTCCAGAAAAGCATGTGCTCCAAACAATGGCAAAGCCTTGGGACTGGGCATTCCAGCTGCCAACAGGTCTGTGGCTGATGTGGCCATACCAGCCACGGGGCAACACAGAGAGGGCTAAGCAAGGCTAGAGGTGAGGCAGTGGCCCACTCCCAAATTCCCAGGCCACAGGGCAGAAGTGCCCAGGAGGAGCAGAACAAAGGTGAGCAGGCTGGACAAGGAAGAGGTGGAAAACAGTAGGTGGCTCTTCTACTCCACCGATGGGAGAGCAAGAGAGTCTGAGGCTAGACTGCAAGTAGGACTTCCTGAGACCCAAATTTGCTTGGTCCCTGGAAATCGCCTACTAGGTGGAGATCCTAGGGAGTTTGTTAACAGCTTTGCCACCAAAATGTCTTCAGTGTGGCCAGATCTGGAGGCAGAGGATGGGGGCAAGGTTTTTCTACCCCCAAAGATCACAAAGGCAGACAGAAGCCCCTTTTCATTCCTTGCATCTTCCTGGTCCGCTTTAAGTAGCCAATGAGACCCTGTTGCCACCTCCCCTGCCTTTAGCCCTCCTGATTCCTGGCAATCCCTCCTGCCCCTCCTCACCGAGATGCCCCTGCAGAGGGGAGGATGTTAGTTTATTTACTGATGGCCTGTGGGTCTCACTTGTAACCGACACCCTCCATTTCCCCCACCCCAGAGTCTGGAGCAGAATGGGGGGTGCTTTCCCACCAGCACCAAGGGGAAGGTCATGGGTAAGGGAGGGGGAGGGGCAGCGCAGGGGAAGGAGACAAATATTCCTCCAGCCCCCCCACCCTGCTCCATGCAAACCACACACACGCGCCGCCCTCCCCTCCTGCCCCCCAAACACAACCACCACACAAACTGTAAATGTGAGAATTTCCCCTGCAGTCAGCTCGAGGAGGAAAAGGTAACATTTTCCTGGCCTGGGCCCTGCATGGCTAATGGGAGGGCTGGTTTGCAGAAATAACAGTGCTGGCCCTTCAGTGGCCCAGCCAGGCGTTCACAATAGCACTTTCATTCCGAAATTCCCGGTGGGCAAAGGGAGGGAGGAGGGAAGGAGGCCGCCAGCGAGGGGCAGAGAAGCCGCACTGTTTGGGGCTGCTCCTGCTACTAAGGGACAGCTGAAAGGGAGAAGGACTGTGAGAGGTGGCCCAGGGCAACCCAGGCCTGGACGGGTCACTCACACTTTGCTCAGTTCGGTGTCCTGGGAATTTGGGGGCGGGAGGTGCTTCAGAGAATTTCTATGGTTATGCATAAAGCCAGAGCTCTCTGCCTCAGCCCTCCACCCTGGTGTCCTTAGGATTCCAGGTTCAGCTCTTGGTCAAAAAAAATCTTATGGGGCAGCAATGGGGGCCCTGTCTCCAGACCCCAATGCTGGCCAACTAAGGGGACTTACAGAACAGCAAGGAGCCCACAGGGTGAGTAGGAAGTGGACGTGGGGGCCAAGCAGGCTTATTGGGGAACCAGAAAGATAACTGTGGCTACCAGGCCTCAGGTAGAAGGCTGGACGTGAGGACAAGCAAGGACAGGGAGGCCACACTGGCCCAGATCAGCCAGCCCAGGTCAGACTGAGGGGTACTGTCATGGAAGGGATGGGGGCAGGGGCTGGCCAGGGCCCCCAGAGCAAGGGAGACCTGGGCCCAAAGGTGGGCATGTAGAGGGGGCAATAGGGCAGAGGCCACACTGACCGGAACCAGCCAAAGTCAAAGTGAGCTGGGCTCTAAGATGCAGTGGGGTGGTGGGAAAAGGCAGGCTGGGTGCCCAGAGATCTGATTTTAACCCCAAATCATCCACCAACTTACTGTGCGATCATGGCTAAGTCATGCCCCAGCCTCAGTGTTCTGATCTAAAAAATGGTGAGATTGAGCTAGATGACCTCTTTTTCCTTTCAATGTACACAGCACATAAACACCAGTATCTGTATTTCCCTAAATAGATGCTACCCCCTCAAAGAAGCCCAGAATCTGACACTGTACGAGTCACTGGTAAGTGCCTGCCAGGCCCCCACTCACACACCCTACAAGGGCTACAGTGGTCTAGGAGGGGCCATCTCAGTGTTACCAAAGGAGGAGCTCTCAGGGCTCCCAGTGCAATCCCAGGAGTGGCCATACTGGACCCACTGACAAGCCCTGCCCTGCCCTCCCCTAAAGGTTACATTCCCTGCGCCCTCTAGTGATAGCTGCCTGAATAGCTCCTTCTCAAGCCTCCGGGCCAAGGAGGGCAGGGATGATTCAAGGAGACCTGGGACTGAGCAGAGGGACTCCAAGGTCAGGTGGTCCACATCTCACCTCTAGGTGGGAAGGGGTCCTGAGCAAGGTCAAGAGCTGGAATGACCCCAGGAAGCCCACAAACACCTGGTACCTGCAGGCCCCCCAAGGCTGGGGTTTCTGAAAAGAGAACTGCAGGCAGGAGCAAAGCTCTTATCTTGACCCATCAAGAAGTCTAACTGGATGTTCTGGAGTCCCTTTTTACCTAGATGTCCCAGGATTCTCCCCAGAGCCCCGTGAGGTGGAAAAACTACCCAAATGAGAAGCCAAGCAAAGGGAGATTTCAGGCACTCCAGGACCAAGGGGCTTTGCTCGAGAGTCACCAGGTCCATGCTTCTGCCTCTGGCCCAGCTGTTCCATAGGCACTGGGCCTCCTAGGCCCCAGGAAAACTCCAGGGCCTCATCCCTGGGTCTGTGCCCAGGGTTAACAATGGGGCACTTCCCGAAGTAGGGGCGGCCCCCACCACACAGGCCAAGAGGAGGCGGAGGTGCTGGCCAGGGCAGAGGGAGGCTGCAGCGGGGCGGGCGGGGTCAGGACTCGGGCACGTGGGAAGGTGCCCAGTGGAGCCACTCAGTGTGAAGAGAGGAAGAGTTCCCGGCTCCCAGAGCCGCCTTCCCTGACCACACAGTTAACAGGAACCAGGGTGGCTTTGTCAGGGTGGCTTTGTGCCCCTCGGGGGCTTCCCTTGGAATTCCCAAAAGTGTGCCAAGAATGCTGAACAAAGGTCATCGGAACCAGCCCTGGCCCAGGCAAAGCCCTGCAGAGGCAGCAGCAGGTATGGACTTTCCACCAGGGCTAATGCCGGGGAGAGCAGGGCAGAGGATCAGGGAACCCTGGGAACCCCCGGGCACAGGCTGGGGCAGGATGGGCTCCTGCCTTTAGCATGTGCTTGGAAAGCCTCCCCCGTCCATGTTGGTTTCACCAACAACACTTCTGGCTCAAGAGCCCACGTTCCCGGGTTCTCCTCCTCCCCTGAATGGGAGGTGATGCCACAGTGAAGTGGGAGGGGGAGGAAGGGGGGATTACCAAGGGGCTTGTCAAGACGCAGATCCCCCATAATTGTTTTTACAAATCCTTCCTCCTCCCCCCTCCTGCCCCTCACCCAGTGCCCCTGGAAGGGGAGTCACTCGATGAACCCCCACGGCCCTGCATGCTGATCCCCCCAGACAGATAACCTCTTGTTCTCTGCTGGCCACTACAGATGGACAGATGAGATGGACAGGCAGCCTCAGGAGCTGGAAGAGCCAGAGAGGGAACCCACTCCCTGGGCCAGTGACTCAGACTGGGAGGAATGGAAGTGGCTGCCCGGGAGGGTGGGGGCCTGGGCAGGCCACCCCGGCAAGCCACTGGAGCCGTGGCCTTCAGAGTGGAAAGAATAACAGAGGGCAGGCAGCCACCGGGGCAGCTGTCCGCACAGCACAGGGGTGACGCCAAGGTGTGTATTTTATACTCAAGTAAGAGGAAGGACAAGAGAGGACGTCATCCTCCCAGCTGCCTGGCATTTCCATTGGGCCTGGACTTCACCCTGGCTGCCTCCTGAGCCAGTCCCTACTCAGCCCCTCTGGTTGGGAGGGGCTAGCCCAGACCTCCCAGCCTGTGCGTGCCCCTCTGGGTTCGCAGCATCTGTAGAAACAGAGTACCTGTCTCCCACTTGCCTCCAGCTCTAATCATTTCCCCTAACTCTTCCACACACAACAAAAGCACCCAGTGGGAGAGAGGAAGGCACTGGGCAGAGCCACAGAAACTAAAAAGGTTTGCTCACTCATTCCTCTTTCAGCTATAGTAAAAAACCCCTCAGAAAGCTGAGGCCCAAAGGGGAAGGGCCTCCCAAGGTCACAGTCCAGGGTATGACTGGCCACATGCACCAGGGTCCCTAAACCCCCCTGCCTCCCGCCACTCTTAGCCCCATCAAGTGGCCCTGTACTCAGCCTGAGCTCTCTGACAGAGCCCTGAGGTGGACCTTCCTTTCTGGCCCAAGCTTATTCTAAGAGCAAGGCCAGCTGTTCTGGCTACTCTGTTTTGCTCTCAGCATTTCTCAGTCCCTGGAGATACGCCCCCAATCCCTGCCTTTCTGCCTGGGAACCTGGAATGGATACATAAATGGCAAAAGGGGCTCAGGGGCCAGAGCAGACCCCAGTCAAGCTACCCCACTCCCACCAAGGTCACAACTGTCTCCCAAGGCTGAAAGAGTGAACAAACACATCAGCATCACAGGCTCAGACCCCTCCCCACCCTGGGAAAAGGACACAGAAAGGAGGGAAAAGGGAGGGGGTAGCCCCCACTCCCAGCCAATCCACCCTCCCACTGTTTGGCACAAGGGCATGCAGAGGGAGGCACCCGCTCCCAGGCGCCCTGGTGGCTGGCTGTGGGCTCCCTCCCCCACTGACCTTCAGAGACATCCGCTCCTGCCACCTGCCCCCTGAATGGCCCCTGTGCCCACTGGCTGGTGCTACAGTAACTTTTGGGTGAAGGACTTCAGCTGGTGGAACAAAGATCTATGCCAGGAGGCCCTCCCAGTAACAGGGCTGCCTGGCCATGCATGCCACCCGCCTTCCCATTCAAAGTAGGTGGGAACTTCTGCCCTGAACTGAGCCTGGTGGACATGACTTTGAAGTCAGAGGCTATGCACCAGTCCAAAGGCCACCTAGAGATAGTCCTGGTTGGCCTCCCCCAGCACCCTGTAACCATGAGCCCTCCTGGCTTTGCCTGCCTGCTGAAGCACCTCCTGGCCTCTCCAATCCCAACATAAATGCATGGGGTTTCTTGAAGGAGTGCAACGATCCAGAGCCTAAGCTCCACCCCCACCCAGGATGGGGCACAAAGGCTGGGAACCATTTGTGGGTCTCTTAATCCCTGCCTCTAAAGCCCAGGGAGCTCTTCCCCAGCTTAGCCTCTGGCACAGAAGTCCTTATAGCCATGGTAGGAGGGCCAAGAAGACTACCCCTGGGTCTCCCCAGTCCAGGGATCCCAGGCCAAGTGCATCTCCTGGGATGCTCTCTAAGTTCTGGGAAGGCCACTGCCTGAGGTGTCCTGAAGCTTCTGGCTCCTTGGTGCAAAGAGGCCCAGCCCTATCTCTGAAGGAAAAGAGGAAATGCCTGATCCTGATATGTGGGGCTTGGCACTGGAGGCTTTAAGGACCAGCCCCGACTCCTTCTCCGTGTGTCCAACAGTCCTTCCCCCAATCATTCCTACCAGAGTCTATCCACCTTTCCAGGACAATACCCCAGCCTCTCTGCACACAGAAAGAAAAGGGTTGGGGGTCCTCCATCTATCAGAGTCACTCCAGGTGGGAGAGGTATAACAAAGGAGGAGGGACAGAGTTTGGTGGTGGCTATAGGGACACAGGCCTGGCTTCTGGAGAAGACTCTTTTAGACTGGGCAAGACTTTTTGAAGTTTCTCCCTGGCAACCCCTCCTCTCTTGGCCCTAGACAACCAGGACAGCCAGTGATGGCCGTGAGGAGCCCCTTCCCAGAACATCTGGTCAAGCCTGACCAGCCCCAACGGAAACAGTGATACTCCTAGTTACCCGGACAGCTGGGCCTCAGCACACCTGGGCCTTACTTCCTGCAAATGCAACCTAACCAAGCCCTGGCCTGGCCCAGGAGCCCACTCTCCAGGCATACCCCTGACTGTAGCATGGGCTGGACACGGCAATGAGTGGCACCTGGCAGCCCCCACCCTGGCTGCATTGGGTCCACTGGGCATTAGGTTCAGCAGATTGGCCATTCTCTCCAGGACTAACATGTGCCCCTGAGTAGTCACCCCTCATCCCTCTGGCTAGACTCCACTTCTTGAGAGCAAGGACCAAGTTTCCTGCTTTTTGTTTGTACCTAACCCAAAGCTTTCTATTTAGTTCAGTAAGCTTAAGTTCATGGAACACCAATTAAAGAGATTTGAGGGAAGGACCCTTTTATCCATGCACTTACTATAGGACCATGTGTACACATGTCACATAGCAAGCACACAATTAGTGTGGGAAACCAATGCAGGGTTCCCAAACCTGTGTCAGGATGAACTTTGTTCTGGCTGCTCTCATGCCCAGGAGGTAGAGGGCAAGACAAGAGTGCCCCATGTATGCCTCATAGGGGTCCTCAGTCTCTGCCTTCAGCCTGTCCCCCCAGCCATCCCTCCCCCTTCCCTGTGTATTCCTCTGACTGGTCATCTATGCCATCTCCTTCCTCCTCCATGCCTCCCAAATGAACCATGTAAGCCAAAACCTTGGGGCTTTCCAAGCAGGCCCTTCCCACCTGGAGGTCCAAGGCCAAGTCAGCCAGAGAGTGGGTGGAACCACAAGACAACAGCCTCACCCAGAAGCTCTCTGTATCCCCAGAGAATCAAGATCAGGTCTTGATCAAGCCTTCTCCCTCCCAGGATCCCCTCCCACCCCTGCCCCCCAGCTTCCCGCAGTCCCAGGTGGGCAGGACTGAGCAGTGCTCTGCTAGGTGACCCAGGACACCTCTTCCCATGGAGGAGTGTTGGAGGCTCCACCTGCCTTTGCTTTGTCTCCTAAACTCTGTGAGTCTCAGTGTTCTCTTTTGTGAAGGGGAAAAGCCTCTATAAAGATAAAATGAGAAGCAATCACATCCTTTGGAGCTGGGTTTCTGAGCCTCAGGCTCCCGCCACATTCTTTGGGATGAGCTTTTGGTGGAGTCACAAAGACTAAGAAAAAAAGTGCCCAAGAAATTTGAAAAGCCCCCATTCCTAAGCCTACAGCCCCCTCCCAGCCACTCCCCAGAATACACACACTCCAACCTGACTCAGGCCCTGTCAGCTGCGTCCTGCTCTAGTGAGGCAAATAAGAGAGAAGATTTTAGGAGAGAAGATTTCAGTCCCTGAAATATATATTTTATGGGAGGAGGGGCATTGGGGGTACTCGCAGACCAGTCCACTCCATGCGGTTTTAACTCCTTTTGTCTGCGACGGAGAACTACTCTTCCCAGGCCTTTCAGAAGACATGAAATACTATAAGATGAATTCCTCCGTTCCCCGAGACCACCTCGCACGCAGACTTCCGGCAGAGGGGGCTGCCGACAGTTGCTCCCTCCCCTCCCCTGGGCTCTGCCACTCTTCCCAGACAGAGATCAGAGGCTGCTTCTCGGTTTCCTTCAGGTTTCAAACCTGGGTGAGTACTCTGACCCAATGCAAAAAAAAAATGGAAGGAGGAGAGGTCGTGCAGTCTCCCCCACCCCCTTCTGGACACTTTAAGCCTGCAGGCCCGCTCCCGCCCGCCGGCGGCTCAGCTTTCGGGTTACTGCAGTTCAAACAGCACGTGCCGCCCGCGCTCCGAGCCGCTGCGGCTGCTGTGGCGGCTGCTCAGCCCCGGGAGGGGGCGGGGAGGCTCGCTCTGTGCGCGCTGGCTCGCCTCCTTCGCGCCTCTACCAGGCGCTCGGGAAATCCACAGGATAAACACCCACTTTCTCTTCCTCTTTATGGGAGGGGGTAGGTGCGCTTTGATCCCCAGCCGCGCCTCAGCTGCTCCTCCACCCCCTCGCCCTTCCCCCACCGTCCAAACGGGTGAGCGTAGAGGCCCAAATTTCACCTCGCTCCTCCCAGACAGGGCCCTGCAACCGCTGCGCACAAGGTGCCCCCAGCCCCCGCGCCTGCTGGCGTCGCTATTAAAGCAATCTGTGGCAGGCATGCCAGGCTTGATTTTAGATTGATCCGTCGGAATTCCGGGGGGAGGGGGGACATGGCAAGAAGGGGAGACCCAGCCATCGTCCACCCTCTTCTTTTTCCAGTTTTGGGGAGCACCTTGAGGACAGGCATTAGAGGCCTCAATCTCCTTATGTTCAAGCTCTGACCAAACCACCCCTCAATCAGCCACCTGTTGGACCAGCAGTGGGCCAGCAAGAGGGCCGACCCGGAGGAGGCCTGTGCAGGCCCTAGATCCGGTATCGCAGCCGTCTAGGCAGGGAACCTACTGGATGGCGTGCAAGCAGGGGCACGGATTCGGCTGGAGACGTCCCCAGGGCTAGAAGAACTCCTTACCCCAAGGGGGGTGGGGGGGGCACAGAAGGAGAGAGTCAGAGCAGGGTTGCAGGGCTCTTGGTCCTGAGTTCTTACCTTGCGCTTGTTGCGGTGGATGTCACCAATGGAGTTGGCCACCGTGTTCGGGCCCAGCAGCATGCGTGTGCTGCGCGGCCACTCGGTGCTCACCAGGTGGTGCTCACCCATGAGGATCTTGCGCACGTTCTCTGCGCCAGTCACGCGGATCAGCGGCCGCCCCAGCAAGTGCGTCTTGAACACATTGCCGTACTTCTCCCTCCGCGACGACTGGAAGCCAGAACCCTGCGGGAGCCACATGGGAGACCTCTCTAAGGACCCTCGTCTCCGAATGAGACTTACCAGGGGCCCAGCCTCGAGGGCCCGTGGGACAGGGGCGGAGGACACTTCTCAGGGCACCAGTTCCCTGATCGCCCCCCCACACACACACACACACAAACACGCGCGTAGGTTTTATTTTTCATAGCATGCACAAGAACTGGGAAGTAGGGCCCAGAGGATAATAAATAACGTAAGGAGGCGGGAGGCTCAGGGGCACCCCGCGAAAGCTGTTTTTTAGTAACGACTGTCGGGAGGAAAGAGGTATCCCGGTCGGCCGGACCCGAAGCTAGAGCCGCCGCCACCCTCCCTACCACCCCCAACTCCTCCGCCTAGAGCTCCGGAGCCTCTTGGAATAAATATTTCCAGGCTCCGGGCCACGGGCTGGCGAGACCCCGCGGGGTGGCCGTAGGCCAAAGATTATTTATAGCGGTGAGCGGTCGGTGCCCGGAGGCAGTCTCTACAGATGGGGGCGGGGGTTTCCTCGGTTCTTGGGTGTGGACCGCCAAGGGCCCCGGTGGTCTTCTGCGGGCTCTCAGGTCTGGTCACGATCTGAGAGCCGAGGTTTTCCTAATGCAATATGCCCTGGAAATAACAGAAGGACTTTCGTCGCCGCCCTGTAGTTTGGAACGGGA